GGCCATGTCCGTCTGCGGCAAACTGGATCTGTCCGTCTTCGGTGTTCCCGCAGGAGCCCGCTTGAGCACACCCAGCCCTTGTAGTCCTCTGGCCGGCATTAGGGTGAAGTTTAGGGTAGGGTGAGACCTTGGCTTTTTCATGTGAGTCCTGTAGTGCTTAGCAGGTCAGAATGGAATTGCCAGCACTCTCCCCGGGCCACACTAGCCCTGGTTCTGATGCCCAAGCTATAGGGAAAGAGGGCCACCAGGTTCTCACTTCTTGATTAGATCAGGCCCATTTCCACTGGCTTCTAGAAAGGCGAGACCATGTGGGTGACCAGGGCCAAGTGCAGAGCCCTCAGAAATAAAACGCAAACTGTGACAATCTCTGAAGACAAGATCTTGAGGACTGAAATCTCATCTTCCCAAATACTGAAGGGGCCAGCTGATCAGAGACACTTGTCCCCAGGGGCGCCCTGACAGCTGAGTTCAATACTGTCTCCCCCTGTTACCATGAAGATAGCCACAACTCATAACCAGGGGTCAGGAGGATGTGGGTCTGGATTAGAATGTACTTTACACAGATGATTACCTTTCAAATGGTCCTATTAATCATCATAACACAAACTAGCAGCTGACCAGAGCTCCATTCCTGATTCCAGTATCCCAGGGGCCGTGGACTTGGTCCTCCTCTGCCCCACTGCCAGGGGCCAGCAACCAAGGTGAGACCTGGTTGCTGCTAAGACACGCTGGCCACGTTTTCATTTCCATTCCATCACCAATTCTCTGTGACCCTGAGCAGCCTAAACTCTTCTCCTCTGCTCACTTCTCCATAAACCAACTCCACAGAGACGTCCACCGGAGGAGGGAGGTGACACACGCCAAGAAGAGCCAGGAGCACCTGCAGACGCAGCACGCACTGTTTTCATGTCTTACCTGAAAGCGGCAGTCTCTCCGCCGTGTCTGCTGTGTTGGCTTTTCCGCCCATAATATTTGTGGTCGGATCATGTCTGTATTTAAAACCAAACACAATATTTAAGCCACCCGAAACAAGAAAACAAAGAGGGGAAAATTCCATCACATACTTTTTGGGGTTGTTTTTAAGCCTATTCATCCAGATGGTGATCATTAGCGGGATCGCCTGTCTGCACCTGTTACTGTTTATGTATACACTCCACCTATAGCAATGTTAGCAATGTGCTCGGAACATTCTGGATGAGTCTAACGAGTGATGCTCTGCAATCAGACACAGCCTATAGCTCGGGGGATCACCCTTCAGTTCTCTGGTAGAGATAAGAATAGAGCTCTTGGTGCCACAGGGACCTGTGAAGTCAATGACAGGTTGACCTGAGAATCTCAGGGACTCGCGTCTGTGCCTTAGAATGCATGTCCCTGCTTATAGCAAAAGCAGCTCCATCAGCCACTTGGTGTTTCCTAACAATGCCCACGCTAGGGCCCCACTCCAGACATACCGATTTTAATTCTTTGGAGTAGTGCCTGGAAAAACATCTATTTTAAACACCCAAGTGACTCTGACACTGGGTTGAGCATAGGGGTCTTCTGGACTGAAAGAAGCGCAAGGCTTTGAGTGGAGACCTAGGTTCTGTTCCAGGCTTGGTGATAATTTCCACTCCTGTGTGTATAACTCTGGTCAAGTCACCATCCTCTGGGTCTGTCTCTCAGATAAGGATGCTGGACTAGGATAAGTGAATTTCTGCTTGTGTTCCAGGAGGCTTGCAGTTTCCTTGGAAGCTCCAGAAGTTTCTAAGTGGAAAGTAGCAGAAATAGAGTGGCTTGGTCTCTGGATTTCTTGCCTCAAGAGTTAATCATGGGGCTGCTAAAAGTCTATTGACAGTGGTCTGACACTAAGCAAGATCGAGGGGGAGCATCTGCCTGGGATGTGGGAAATACACAGCCCTGGATGTGTTCAAGGTGGCTTGAATGAACAAGTTATTCCAGAAATCACATTTTTAAAATGTGAAGCCCTGAGGGAATCAAGGATTTGGACTGTGGGACCTTGAGAGTAATATCACTTCATTTCTGGGAGTCGTGATCTCCTCATCCTTCAAAGGAAGGGGTAAAACTAAACTCCATATAAGGGTCTCATATTTTGCCATTTGGGTGGTAAGCACAGTCTGCAATGCATTTCCCGCCTTGCACTGTGAGCAGACTCATGTAGGATGTTACCTGTGCCTAGAACCAGGGTGAGTCAGCCAACCCCCTAGGAACCCAATGCACTGCCTTGACTTCATTACCATTTGCTGTGGAATGAATTGTGTTTTCCCAAATGCATAGGCTGAAGCTCTAACCCCAAGGTGACCATATTTGAAGGTAATTAAGGGCATATGCTATCCCTTGGACTGCAAGGAGGTCAAACCAGTCAATCCTGAGGCAGCCCACAGCTGTGTGTGCTGGACTCCTGCCTTGCGGCAGCTACTTCACCATAAGAAAGTCACCTGCTCTTCTTACTTAGGGTGTGTGTCTCATCTCCCACCCTACAATGCAAGCTCCTAGAGGGCTGGGAGCTTGACAGCCTTTGTCTTTCTTGTTAGCAAAACTCTCATGAGCTTGGCCTCCCAGACATCTTACCAGATGAAGCAATAGAGCCTCTGAAGTTAATGGTTCATGCCCCAGTCCCACTGCCTACAGAGAGGACCTCGGCAGGCGGTACGCCTCCAGTTTCTAGCTCAGGGAGTCTGCCATGTGCTCTTTTCCCTCAGAGCCTCAGCTCAGTGAAGACCTGTTGATGGGGTGGCGGTGGGGAGGGAAGCAAAGGCTTCTGAGTGTCCAGCTGCTTCTTATCCTCCAGGAGAGAGGGAGCACAGCCCTCAGGGCCCAGCGCTGGGCGTCCTGGTGCGGTGGGACTCGCAACACAAACGGACTGGGTCCATGTGAGCTGGGCTCAGCGGGGCCGGCACTTCTGTGCTTCTCTCCAGGAGGTCCCACAGAGTGAGGATGCCATCTGCCAGGTCAGAGACGCCTGTGGGTTCCAGAGCACCAGGCAGGAGCCAAGTTGATAAAGCACAATATTAACAAGGTTACAATTTTGGGGTTGGGTTCCTCTACTAATAAACATCTTCAAATTACTTGTCTGGAGCATTTACATTTGACTAAGCACTTTCATAAGCAATGTCATTTATTCTTTACAACAACCCTGGGAGGCAGATCTTATCCTTGGCTTATTGGTGGGAGGCAGATCTTATCCTTGGCTTGTTGGTGGAAACAGCTTCAGTTGTGATAAACCAAATACACATCAGTTTTGAACAGCAACACCAAGACATGAACCCCTGTGTTTTATTCCACATCCAGTGTTCTGCTTCATCCTAGGTTTGCTCCACTCAGAAATCAGGGTTAGCTATAAGCTACTTTGGGCTTCCCTGGTAGCTCAGTTGGTCAAGAATCCACCTGCAATACAGGAGGGCCTGGTTCGGTTCCTGGGTTGGGAAGATCCCTTGGAGAACAGATAGGCTACCCACTCCAGTATTCTGGGGCTTCCCTGGTGGCTCAGATGGTAAAGAATTTACCTGCAATGAGAGAGACCTGGGTTTGATCCCTGGGTTGGGAAGATCCCTTGTAGAAGGACACGGCAACCCACTCTAGTATTCAAGCCTGGAGAATCACCAAGGACAGAGGAGCCTGGCTGGCTACGGTCCATGGGGTCTCAAAGAGTCGGACACGACTGAGCAACTAAGCAAAGTACAGCACATGAGCTACTTCTCAACTCGTCCTATGCCTTGGAATTCCATACTATTGGCTTCCAGGGCTGAAGTGACCCAGGTGAAAACTTAGACAGCTTGATGTAAAGGCGTGCTTCCAGGGAAAACTAACTCCTAGCAAGATGTCTTTAATTTTGTAAAGTGTGGGGCTGTTCTACAAGTCAAATTTGGGCAATGCTACATATAGTCTTTCCTTTCTAGGAAATTATGTTAGCAAATAAAGGCTCTGAAAAGTCCTGCAATAAAGAAGGTGGTATAAGTTTAATTCAGCATCTGACAACACAACTAATTTTTTTAGCAGCATCCTGGTTGAGCAAGAAGGTGATGCAGGAGGTAGAAATGTTGGTGGTTGAGAGAACAACATGCCAGATATAAAGGATTATTGAATTGAGAGGAATGAAATGTACAATCATTGTCAAAAAAGCACGTTTAAATCCTCTCTTAAAACTTGTTGGTAAAAATACTTCAGCTAAGTCTCTTTAAAGTATTAACTCTTGTCATTGTTCATGTATAAGTGTATTTTCACTTATAGGATTAGTAAACAAAACATCAATTGCTTTTGTTTTTATCTCATATTTTCTGTAAGTTTTCAGTTTACAAATAGGTATCATTTATAAACTAATTCAAAGCAAATAATTTTTAAAAATCTGCCATTCAATAGCTAAAGATTTAGGAAAGGGGTGGGCCCTGGAGGACCCAGGGAACAGAACTGGGGACATCAAGGTATGGTCCTCACATTGGATCACATAGGACCAGATAGAACACAATATGAGATCTTTAAAGCCAACAGTGACTGTGTAGGTATGAAAATGGAGATTTTAGAGATATGGATTTCTGGATGGAGCAGTGTTGAGGCCCCAGGTCTGACCTCTGTGTGTCCCTGGGTGGACTAGAGACCCCGGAAGGAGGGCAGAGACCAGAGAACCCAAAGGAAGACAGATGGAAGAGCAGGACTCAGTTCACAAAGCAGGAAGTAGGGAGAAAGGGAGAAGCAGGGGTCGACTCCACAGCACTTCCATGGTAGGTGCCCATCTACCATGAGGTTGTGCTAGACCAGCGGGACACATAGGGGAGCGTGGAAGTGCGGACGGGAGTCTAGGTTTAACGCTTGCCCTCTGCCAGGCACTATTCAAGAGCTCTATGGTTGATTGGCCCAACCTCACATGAACCCTCTGAGGAAAGTTCTACATCCCCATCACACAGTTGGGAAAACTGAGGCAAAATGGACTAAATAGCTTGTCCGAGTTCACAGAACTAGCAACTGGCAGACCCAGCCCCTGTCCCCCCTGAGAGGGACCCCAGGGCCTACATGTCTGGGAAGGCAGCCCCAGGCAGCCCCAGGAAGAGAAAGACACAGACACCCCCGGAGCCGCACGCCAGCAACGAGCAGCGCGCGCTGCCTGGGAGGGTGAAGTGGACGGCCCGGGAGTGGGCTGGGGCCGGGGGAGAGTCTGACTGAACCCCACATGTTCCCAGGTGGATGAGGTCGGGGGCCCCGGGGGGCGGGGAGTCCATTCCCAGGGCGCTCAGCTGGTTAGTTCAAGGGGGCTCAGCCCTCACATCCTGGCTGCTTACTCGGGGCTCTTTCCATTCCTCATGCTTCCTGTCAACTCGAGGTTGGGGCAGATCCATGAGGAAGGCAGACAGTGGGCTCTGGGGCCTTGTGGGGAAGATCGCTGCTCTATGGCGGGGAGCACAGGTGAGGTGCTCGGCCAGAAAGGCCGCTGTGGGGATGGAGCGACAAGGAAGATAACCCACTCCCCGCCATGTCTTCCCTTCTCCTTCCCCGAGTCAAGGAGAGAGCAGGCCCTGACACCGGCTCTGATAAACCAAAGCGCGAGTGAATCATCTGGTGTGGGTAACACAGAGCTGAGGTTCGGATGGTCGGATGAGCTCGTCAGTGACTCTGGAGGGGGGCCTCCTGGGAGGAACACAGTAGGGAAGGTGTGCACTGCCCGAGGGCCCCCCAGGCAGGGGCAGCTCAGAGCAGCAGAGATACGTGTGCATCAGGAGGAAGGGGGCACAGAGACAAGCTGAGAAGACACCATGGTGCCCCTTGCCAGGCACACGTGTGCCCACACACACACAGCCCCTGGGCAGCCCTGGTGGAGGAAGCGCCTCCCTGAGCACAGGTGTGTGTGGGTGTCCTGCTGATGCACGTGAAGGAGGAGCAGGGCAGGTGGCGTGTTCGCCCGTGACCATCTTTTCTTCCACCTCCACTTTGCTCTAAGATGCTCCTTTACCCCACACACGACAACTTCTCCCTCTGTTGGATTCCCTTCTCTAACACCACTCCCCTTCACTCCCCATCCCTCCCTTGCTGGCCCTACCTAACACCCCTCCCTTTCAGGGAGGGGCCAGCAGAACGGAACTGCTGTTGATGCTCTCACAGCCACGCTAAAGCTGTGGCTTTAGCCATGCTCAGAAGTAACCTGGGTTCACAGGTTCACACACTGGCATGAACACAGGTAAAACATCCACGACAGTGTCTGGATGTAGTAAGCACCAGCCTTAGCTCTTTCCTCCAGGCAGTTCACTGCCAAAGGCACAAACACTGAGGACCATTTAACATCCTGTGTATTTTAAAAGGTCAAGATATCCCCAGTGCAATGATGCCCCCAGTTTAACAACCAAAAGAAGAGTGGCAGCTAAAAAAGAGATGCTATGGTTCAAATCCATAGCTGGTCACTTGGTCTGTTGGTTTTTGAGCTTCATGGAAAGTTTCATAATTTCCATGCTCATCTTTCCCCAAATGGGACCCCAGATGCCACTTCTTTCATCCCCAGGTGCCCTGGGAGGGGAGTACAGGGAGGTCGTGGGTGGCAGCCTTACAGCACAAGACTAGAATGGGGATCTGAGTTATTTTTACTCTTCCAAAAAAAAATTACACTCGTGAAAGAATGAAATTAGACTTCCTCATCCCGTATATAAAAATTAACTTAAAATGGACCCTGGACCTAAATGTGAAAGCTAAAACTGTAAAAATCTTAGGAGAAAATAAAAGAGTAAGTTTTCATGACCCTGATTTAGGCAACAGTTTCTTAGATCTAACACCCAAACCTCAAGCAACAAAATTAAAAAAAAAAAAAAAAACTGCTATAGAAATATACTGGACTTCATAAAAATCAAAAGTTTGTATGCTACCAATAACACAGTCAGTAAGTGAAAAGACAGTCCACAGAATGGGAGAAAAGATGTGCAAATCCTGTATCTTATAAGTTATTTGTTTCCAAAATATATAAAGAATTCTTACAACAAAAAGGTATGTAGCCCAATTTTTTAAATGGACAAAGAACCTGAACAGATATTCTTCCAAAGAAGATTTAAAGCTACCTAAAAAGCACATGAAAAGATCCTGTTGGTCATCAAGGAAATGTAAATAAAAAACTCAGCATAATCCCATTAGGATGGCTGTGCTCCAAAAGACAGATGGTAAGTACTGATGAGGATACTGAGAAATTAGAACCCTCATGTTCTGTGGGTAGGAATGTAAAATGGCGTAGCCACTCTGGAAAGCAGTTTGGCAGTTCCCCAAACCTTAAGCATAGGTACCCTATGACCCAGCCACTCCACTCCTAAGTATACACCCAAGAGAAATGGAAATGAAAGTCTGTACAAAAGCATACACACTAATATTCACAGGAGTATTTTCCTTAATGGCCAAAAAGTGGAAACCACCCAAATCCTCATCGATAAAATGTGGGACAGTCATATAATGGAATATTATTGGATAATAGAAAGGAATGAAGTTCTGATACATGCCACAATATGGGTGAGCCTTGAAGATGTAGCGCTGAAAGAAGCCAGTCATAGAAGACCCCATACTGTATGATTCCATTTACATGAAACATCCAGAATAAGTAAATCTACAGAGACACAGAGTAGATTAGTGGTTTCCTGGGGCTGAGGATTTCAGAGTAGAGTAGATAGGGAGTGATTGCTAATGGCCATACGGTTTCTTTTTGGGGTGATGAAAATGCAATAAAATTAGATTGTGGTGATAGTTTCCTGACCCTGTAAATATACTAAAAGACACTGAAATGTGCACTTATAAGGAGTGAATTGTATGGATTGTGAATTATGTTTCAACAAAGCTGTGCTTTTTAAATGAATGAAATTGGTGTAACCCCATTTTTAAATTGAACAGGCCAACCAAAATGTCAAGTCTTACTTTTGACTGGAAACTCTCAATGTGGCAATAATGATGATCTAATATCAACAACTAGTTGGTTTGTAGAACTAGATACATTTCAGTTAAATGCTTGAATATTTACATTCTGCCAGGCCCGGTGATAACACTGGTAAAGTAAAGTAATAAAGAAATGACTTAGGATGCAAGTAGTTGGTTAAACAACTCCTGGGACCATGACAGAAGACATAATGGGTTAAAAAAGCTCTTAGCTGGGTGGGAGCCTCCGGACCAAGAAGACAGTCAGGCCACGTGGCCTCTCGCCTCACCACCAAGAACAAGGGGTATGCTGATGCCTCTGAACCCCCAGTTCAGGCCTGGGAAAAGCTTCTCAGTCTGAGCAGAAGGGCTAGGTCCCTTGTGTGTCCAGGAGTCCTCTCTCATCACCCACTGTTGACTATGTAATCTCCCAACTGGCGTCTTGAGTGGCCTAAGAGTTCCTTTTTCTAGAAGATGCTGTCTCCACCCCCAGCACAGGCTGACAGCTCCTGGCACTAGTCATGCTCCTCAGGGCTCAAGGCAGCCCTGCCCTCTCCTGCCAGGATGGAGAGCATCACTGTTAATGAGCTTGGAGAAGCGGGATAAAGTGTGTGATGAAATTCACAGATGATACTAATTTGGGAGGTGTAGGAACCACCAGCTCTAGGAGACAAAGCAAACAACCTGTGGAGGGAGAGGTTAGAAATCCAGACAAGCAATCATCCAGTGAGGCATGCTGGAAAACAGTGCCTGTGAGGAAACACCGCTGGCAGAGAAGAAGGAGCAGAAGGTGCTTCCTTGAGGCCTAAGAGGCGCAAGTGTTGATGTTGCCTCATGGTGATAATCTAAAGCACATGAGATAAGGAAGTGCCAGTAGAAAAGAATGTGCAATTTGGAGCCATTGGCTTAGCAAAACAGAGCATACCAACTCTTTTAGCAAAGTCCTTGGTCCTACCATGATGGGAGCAAAACCCTTCTTTTTCAAAGGTATTTTTATGTCTGCTGGCATTCTCCTGGGCGGCAATCACAGGAATTTTGAGAACATAAAGATTTGTCAGGAGGCTCTACAAATATTTTGCCTACCGAGGCTTTAGAGGTAAGGCTCTGGGACAGCTGAGCCCCCCCACACACACACACCCCCAAGCTGGTCAACAGCACCAGGGTCCTATAAGATGAAGACAAGCTGGCCAGGTCTTCCTTGGTGGGTCTCTGATGAGGAGTCTGCCTGCCAATGCAGAAGACATGGGTTTGATCCCTGATCCAGGAAGATCCCACACGCCACAGGGCAACTGAGCCAGTGTGCCGCAACTATTGAGCCTGCGCTCTAGAGCCTGGCAGCTGCAAGGACTGAAGCCTGCGCTCCACAACAAAAGAAGTCACCACCACAACTAGAGAGTAGCCCCTGCTAGCCACAATCAGAGAAAATCCCACGTGGCAATGAAGACCCAGCACAGTCAAAAATAAAATTGTATACGTGTGTGTGTGTGTGTGTGTGTGTGTGTGTGTGTGTGTGTATGCAACTAGATGCAGCCAAACAAATAAATTTTAAAAAAGAAAAAACCTGGCCAGGTCTGGGGACAGGGGAGTGGAGCCGAGGAGGAGGAATGGGCAGAAGCAGACAGGCAGACCCCTGGCAGGCATAGCTGAGGCAGGGGAGAGGGGGATGGAAGCACCACAGGCACCTGATGGAGAGCTGGGGCTGGGTGAGGAATGCCTGGTGCTAGGGGCTCAACTGTGTCTCCTCTGAATCCATATTCAGTTCAGTCGCTCCGTCATGTCTGAATTCATATGTTGAAGGCCTAAGCTCCAATGTGATGGTAACCGGAGATGGGGCCTTTGGAGGATCAGATGAGGGCATTAGGGTGGGGCCCTTATAATGGGATTAGTGGCTTTTTAGGAAGAGACACAGCTGGGAGGACACAGCTGGAAAGCAGCTGTCTCCAAGCCAGGAAGATGTGTCATTAGGAGCCAGATGCATCAGCACATTGGTTCTAGACTTCCCAGTCTCCAGAACTGTGAGAGAGTAATGTCATTTGTTTAAGCCACTCAGTCTATGATATTTTGTTGCAGCAGCCAGGCCAACTAAGACACCAGGTATCCACAATCAGGCAAATTGCACTGCTCATATATGTCAGGGAATACAGGGAATGTTAACTCAAAATAATTACTGAAAAACCCTGTATCTCTCATGCATTCAACAAATATTTAAGAATCACTACCCTCCAAACAATGACAACACAGCCTGGAGCCAAAAATGGAGCCTTACTCTCATGGGGTTTATGTGCAACAGACTTCATCACATGGCTAGCAGTTCAATAAAGGCATTTCTGAGTGTTGCTTGAGCTAATGTTCTTTCAATACA